AAAACTGAAAACATATGAAACAATTTTAATATCTTAATGAAATAAATTAAGACCCCGAAAAAAAAATCTTCATAACAATATATTCATCTTCAGCAATCTTCATAGCAATAATACTCATGATGATCATTTCCTAAAGTTTAAAATTGATTTTATGAAAACTTGGTTTGATTCGCTGTTGTAAAGTTGTTCCAAATAAAATTATTATTCAAATGTTAAAAGACTTTGTTTATTGTTGTGTTTGGGTTGGACTTTAAAACGGGAGTGTGACTCACTTTCCAATGACAAATTGACCGAAATTTATTATTAAAAAGTACACATCTTTAGGTTTGTTTATAAATAAGTTTATTATAATATATTATGTTTATTTATAAGTTTTTAAATAAATAAATAAAAAAAAAATTATGAATAACATCAACGATATGTGATTTAATAAAAATAAAGATATACCAGCAGTTACATCCAACCTCTGAAGTTTTTGTAACTTATTAAATTATAAGAATAAGCTTTACAGTTATAATTAACTACAAAGGAAGAACATTGTATGAACAACTTATCAATTTTTAATACTTTCTGTTTTTAGGTGTGAAACAAGTAAAAAGCAGTAGAAAACATAATCTATGGATTCACAGAAATAGAATTTGAACAAAGATAAAATTTTACATTCTATTCATATTTAAAAGAACTAAATGTTGAACTAGAACTTATGACCTTTTACTGATTGCTGAAAAGTAAATTTACAACAAAAATTGATGAAAATAACATAAAAGTAAGTACAAGACATATGCCAAATTCTACATGGTAAGTGGTAAATATTAAGTATTAATAATAATTCCCAAAGCACATAGTTGAACAATTTTAACCTTTTAAATTGGCTTGATATTTAGTATAATATGGTTTGCTCGAACAATGAAAAAGATTCAACAATAAAAATTAACTTAAACATTATTTAGGTTGTGTGTAGAATATCTCTCTATTATTGTTTCAAATATTGTAGATTAAACTGTTAATTGGTCATGTCATGACAAGTTTTTCAAACTAATTTGATTAATGATTCTATCATAGACATTTCACAAAAATGGGCAGGCAATAAAAGTTCCAAAAAATCTGTACCTGTAAAAACTAATCATCATTTT